TAAATTACTGTTGTGCATATGTATAGCACTAATATGAAATTTAAATTCAGTAATATATTGTTAACGTTTATGAAATAGCAAGAAATAATTGTTAATTTTTTCTGCAATAGACCACTGCGTACTTTATACATTAAGTTATAGAAGTTCATTACGTACTAACGTCCAAAAGCGACGGAGACATTTATAATTTCGTGCAAAATGTTGATGTGTGTACTAATAAAAAGTAAATAATTTTATAAATTATGCGAGTGAATCAATTTTTCAACTTCAATTTATTCACTCTTATGAAGATAGTAATACTGATCTATAGTTTCACCAAGAACAGTTAAAATTGAGCTCATTTTAATGAACAAACATTATCAAAGAGTGTGAAAAACATTCTTACGAATTCAAAATATTAAAACTTTTCTCAACGAAATGAAATTTAATTTGCATTAAAAAGTTTACTCTCAGTTTTCTCGAAGTAACGAGAAGACTATAATTGGGCAGCTTTCCATTGCAGTGCAAATTATTTTCCATTTTCATATAGCTGGAAATTATGTATCGTTTTGAAGGATAAGCTGTTAAAGCGTAGTTTAACTTCCGGGGCGCATAATTTAAACTCCATTCTAACTGACAGAGTACGTTGTACTATTTACACGTGAACAACATGCTTACATACACTTCCGCATATGCGCATTAAAGCAGCAATAATATTGTTTGAAAAATAAACATGCGGTAACAACACCGCAGCGTATTTATTTGTGAATTCTAGTTCGTAAAACTTTATATGAGATTTTATATTTACTTCAATGCATGAAGTGCAATAAAGAAAAAAATATTCTGCCCTTCCAAGGTAAGTCTTTGCGATTTATTTCGTAGCAAACACATGTATTTAGACAATTTCAGTTTACCATAATTTTGTGCACGCAAGTAATTATAAAGGCAATCAAAATATTTCAGCTTATATTAAATTTACCTATGAAAATATGGAAATTATTTTTTTTTGAGTTACGGTAGATTAATAAATTAAATTGAAAAGTTAATTGTGGAACACTCAGAATTCATGCGAACGAGGTTTATCATTTTCATTCAAGGGATGAACTTCTACCGTAAATGAAATAAACCGTTTACTGTGAAACTGGTGCATTTTTGGAAAGTTTGGGGAATAAACAATTTATATATAATATAGTGTGAACTTTTTATTCAATATGTAATTTGACAATAACATTGCGTAATCATTTAATGTGAAAATCTTGTAAATCAATTTATTTACCTAAGAAAATATATTAATATACTTCATTTTCATAAAAATAGTTTATATAATTTATTTGTTTATATTTTAATTCATTCAAAACATAAATAAATTCAATAGGTTGTATTACTATTTTTCAGTTGACTAAATTGTAATTTTTTAAATATTTCAACACAAGGAAAAATAGCTTGCACCACTTTCATAATAAATGATTCATACTACCGCTAGGTGGCTACGTTTAAGTTCGCATTCATTACCGCGTCGTTTGAAGAGTGCGTTCAAGTTTTAAGTGATTGTGATCATTTGAATTTTGTGAGCATAATATATTTATAATTGAGGAGTAATTAATTGATTATTAGTATGTGTGTATATACGCATCATCGCGACCAGTTTACCAACAAGTAGGTAATGAAAAAAATGTTGAAACTGCCGTAAAAAGGTTATGATGATTACGATGAAGAAGTAAGTTATTCCTTTTAAGGTTATTTCAAATAACCTTAACATGATTAGATGATACTTAAATCAGGCGCACATTTTTTTTAAATCGAAATTCATTATCAGTTTTTTCATTATACAAAGTATTTATAAATACTATACTATACAATGACTATATTGAAAAATAAAGTAATAACTAACTGTAAGTATACGTTGGTAATAAGCTATCTATCTTTTTATTTATTTTTATTTCTTCCGAGGAAAAATAATTTACTTACTGATGGCCATGTAGATTGCCTGGGTGACTGTAATTTTTTAAAATGACTAAGTGGAGAACGCGAAAAAACTTTTACACCACTGCCGGGACATAGCCATTTTGGTCAACTAATCACGTGATATAAAAGCACAGGCGGGAATAAAACTTTAAACGTGTTACACTCGTCCCTCCATTTACGCGGAGTATCGATTCCACGTGGATTTGTTATACGTGAATCAAAATTGAGTAAATAGAGTGTATTGGTATATACAAAAGAAGACAAACTATTGGAAAATAAAGCTCGTATAAATTTTATAAACACATATTTATTTTACATAGCTTAACAGCAAATAATAATAATAACATTTTAGAAAACAAAAGTAAATTTTATTCGATGTCACTAAATTCAGATTGAGTATAAACAATACCGTGTAGATAATATTATAATTTACCGCATAAAAGAGACCCGCGTAAAAAGAATTTAGCATAAATGGAGGGGTGTGCTTGGAATACGTTTATTCACTGTTTCTATCAGATCTTTTTGTGTAAAATATTGAATCTTCTTATTTTTTGTATTTATCCTGGCATTTAAGAAATATAAATATACATGTGGATGTTTTGAAAATTAAGTAGCTTCTATATATCGAAATTCTATTCTACGGTAATAGCCTATATTGAAAACTTACTGTACATACATTCTGCATGATTAATGTACCGCGAGTATCCTAAATTAGTTAACAAAAGGACAGATCTTCATTTAAGCCAAGTAGGAATTGCAGAATATTGGCTGGAGTCAATTTATCGGCATAAGCAGGATTTCGAAGAGGAGTCAGAGTGATGTGAGGATTAATCCTTTGCATTATAATTTAATTTCGCAGTCGCAGCCATTAGGACTATTTATCGTTAATAATATACTATTGCAATAAAAAATTCCACGTTTTTTGTATGTTTAGATGTACTCTAAAGCATGCAAATAAGTTGCAAACAAGGAAACTAATGTTCCATTAGAAATCAAAATAACTAAATGACATTTATTTTTGTTGAACAATATTTTAAATCTTCGCTATGAATCTGACAGGGTTCATAGAATGTTATGAAAATACCAATAATAATGTATCACCATAAATAGTTGCATTTAAAAATCACTTTGTATGCATACTTGCGAAATACGGCAATTCGCAATTGAGATTGTGCAGAACTGATTCTTCCTCTTAGAAAATTCAGTACTTTATCATTACAACTTCCTAAAGTTTCACAAACATTAAAGCAAGTTTTTCTTGGCCACTAACCTATTCATTAACAATTCTTGACTCTCTTCTTTTCCCTTGAGATCGTCGCTCCTGGGCAAACTAATTTCAGAAAGTATACTGGTTTCCACTTTTCGTGTACTTGATATAATATTGCATTTTACCGAAAATAAAACTCGCTTATTATTCTATTAGGAAGCTTCATAAAGTTTACGTGTAGGTATTTCAATTATTACTTTCGACAATTGGTCATGGGTCGGATATAAATAGTAAAAATGGTGGAATTTAGAAAACTTCTGTGAAAATGGTAAAAAGTATAAATATTCATGAAAACAGTAAAAAAGTAAATTAAAGATGCGGTATGCACGCTTTGGAAATAATTACGTTCGCGTTAACCCTTAGACTACCAACGGAATAATACATATCAGAGCGTCCCAGTGCAAACAAGCCACTTGATTGCACTGTCGTCCACCCCAATGGTAGTTTAGGGTCCATTTTACGAAACAACTCTGTTATTCGATTTAAAAGTGTGGATTATTCTGTAATTTTAGTGTTTTGTTAAAATTTACATTTGGTTATTCAATTTAACTTTGTTTATTTTAATTTTGTCCTAAAATGAAACAAAAAAAGTGTCGGTAGTGTGAGAGTTAATAAAAAGCGAAAGTGAACCGTGTAGCCTTCAGTTGTACCATGCTTGTTTCTTTCTTCATTGTTGGTAGATTATCCATAAGTTAAAAAGGCAAAGGGGCAAGAACAAGTTTCTATTTATAGTAACCGTAACAGTAACTATAGCAATAGTGATAAATCACGGTTTGAACACATTATCTTACTACAATATTTTGTGAGTTTGCAGGAAGAGGAGGTGAACTATGAATTCTGCTATAACTTTCGTATGTATCAATATCTTTTGAGGATATGAAATATGATTATTATCATTTTATAATAGATAATACTGTCCAATAAATAAATATATAAATAAATTGGTACTTGTTGAGATTGGTAATTTAGAAATTACTTTAATCTACAATAAAGTCTAATGTCTGAATATTACCTAGGTTTTATAGCAATGAACGTTGATGCCACATAGTTTATATTAGAACAAATATTATGACTCACTAAACTCTGAGATTTGTTAATCAAATAAATGAATGAGAAAGGAGAAAGTTATTAAAAAATGAAGTTGCAAACAAATTATTCAATGAATTTTCTTTTTCGATTAACAGTTTAAGTAATTATTTTTAATCAGTTTATATTTACCTATAAATTATAGTATAGAGAGTTCTGTACAGTGGACTAAATAAATATATTTAGAAAATTATTGCACTAACACCAATGTTCATATTCAGCGACATGCGGCTTAATTCATTTACAATATAATAATAAATAATACCATCTTTTATATTTAATGTGACAAACTCTACAGCTTATCATTTCCTCTCATTTTATCACGGAATATACTCGCGGCAAAAACATATTTAAAATCTTGTCTAAGACGACTAGTCGATGATAAAATTTTCGACTTACTTCCGCACGAGTAATCCTCCGGTACCAAATGTTCGGGTACATCCCGCGTTTCACGACGCACGCCTCAGAAAGGGCACAAAGCCGCGCGATAATTTCGCATTCCACGATATTTTGCCCGAAAGTTCAGCAGCGATTCAGAGGTGTGACTTACACTCACTATGATATGCAATGCGTACGCAGGCCGTGTTTTACCTACTGATTCGTCAGCCGTTTTCGTATTCAGCGTCGCACCCCGAAGGGGCGCAGGCGCAAATCACGTCACGTTTCGTGTTCGAGAGCGTCGGCCGTCAGTTACGTCCTGACGCCGACGTCGTCGGGGTGGCATTTGCTAGCGTCCTGGGATCACAGCCCGACTCACGTTACCCACGCTGCCATGTGACCGCGAATTTATCCACTCGGGCATGGATTGTATCAAATCGATGCTTCTGAACCACTGAATTTTTTCGAATTTTTTTCTAACGCCACAGCAACCATCGCGAATTGGACTAACGCGTAACAATTTGATTCTTCGAGGACACTGTCTTCGGAAAAGATAAACGAAAAGCTCGAGGACAGGAGTTTCTGGACAATTTTTTTGGTCTTCACGCGATAACTGTCTATCGCGTCGAGCTATGTGAGAGTAAAACTTTGGAAGATGATTTCGCGCGTAAAGGAGAAGTGAGTGAAGTTCGCCGGCGCGAGCTTATCCCGTGCAGGGTAGAAAAAACGGAGGAAAGTGGTGCGATTTACGCGCATGATTACATCGGCGCATCATGCTAGTTTGTGAGACAATGCGGTGGGATGTTGTTGGATACCGTGATTTGCTGCGGTGCAAGTTTTTCATTCTTCTGGTTCTTGTCGGCTGCAGCGATGGATATTTGAACATCTTTATCAGCCAGTCCCAGGTTATGAAACTTTTGGGTGAGTTTTAAGGGAACCTTTTTACTCGCGCTGCTTTTCATCTCGTGCAAAAACACAGCGTAGAAGGAAGATTGACGGAATATTTCAATGAAATTAGTGTGTAATAATACTTGATACGGGCATTTTTGTTTTGTATTATTTTTTTAACAGGGTAATAGAATTTGTAACAGTTATGGACGTAGTTCAGAACTTGTGAAGGCTCTTTCTGTTGCAGATAATTACTGAGTTTTTGTTATTTCAATGAAATTTATATTTACCGCGTAAAGTAATGAAATTAAAGTTAGAGGGTCATATTTTTTTCAAAATTTGTTCTCGCTGCTGTACTTCTAGAAAGAAAATGAGTAATGTAATGTAACAGTGATTCTACAGCTTTGGAAAGTTTGAATAAGTCAATTGAGTAGAAATTATAATGGCATTTCAAAAACAGTTTTTTTCGTAAAGTTTTATAAATAAATTTATTATCGTAAGATAATATTTAAAACATAATATCCATACTTGTAATATTTATTAGTGTAATAATTATACTTACACATTAATTACATTATCCATTAGTTTTTAGTCTCGACAACATTTTATAATTTACGTAAAATGGTTTGCCAATTATAGAATGTTTAAAAACACTCTTTTAATATCTGAAAAGTAGAACTTAGTTTCTACGGGACGAGTGACTTAGTTAATAATATCTTAACTTCTTATCTTATAATATCGTGGCAGACTCGGCATGTTCGAACTTTCGAACGTAGGTTAGCAAATGTACTTAATTATCATTATACTCAATTGAGTTGAATTTAAATATTATTTGTCTATTATAAATTATTAATCATTGGAGAAAATGTATACATAGGACAAACATAAAATTTTTCTTTTTCTCTAATAAATTATTTACTAGACTATTAGAATTAAAATTATTAACGATAAAATAGTTTTAGTGAGCACAGCTGTAAAAAAAATCACAGGATAAGGGGATGATAGAATTTCTTACGAAAGAATAATTTTTAATTCATCAAAAATTTCTGTTTGGGCTGCATGCATTTTAGTTTCATGGCGAGTATGAATAAACAAACATATAAACGAATATTCCTTTAAATGAGTCAACACAAATGTGATTGTACATTAATATTCATTATCTACATTTAAGGAAAATGTATTGTAGTCTTTTAAATACATAATACCAGCCTGAAAGTTATTAAAAGTTAAAGACAACAGTGAATCTTAAAAGGAATAATTATGTAAATAGGTTTTATCTAAAAAACTAAAACGTTTGTAATTGAGGGATTCAATTAAATGAAATAGTGAAATAAAGTTTCAGTCGTCTTCAACAATTATCTTTAACAATGATTGTTCTTATGGGAATAAAAAGGCTCTGTTACTATTTTCTTTCATTTTATCGGATTTGAAGATACAGGAGAACTTGGAATAATCTTTAATGCTAACTTAGGTTTGTATTACCCGTTAATAGATTTTATTAAACTGTAAAACACATAAACACACAGAGTCGAAATAAAGTGAATTATCCTATCCTCGATCACATATCCAGGAAAATAAATTTTGCATAAGCAATAAAAAAAACGATATTCATACTTACAAATATGTAATATACAGGGTGGACAATAATAATTATTACCACGATTATTCAGGGACTCCTAATAATCTAACAAAAAATGCATCGAACGAAAGATAATTAGTTTTTAGTAATCTGTACATTACACTATAAATAAATTTCGAATCACATAAAATCTTTTAGATGACACTGGTATATCTTTAATTTCATAGCGTTGTAGCTAATGTCTAGGTAAAATTAATGACCTCTAGTACTATGACTTTGAAATAACCTTGAATTTAGAAATATGAAAGCAGATAATTTATTTTTGGTATCAATAATATGCGACACTGTACAAGATTTTTCAATATTTTTAAATTGAAGGTCATTTCAATGGCATAGGGGGAAAGAATAATTATATTTAACTAAAAATATTTTTGTTAAATATAAGAAACATAAGGAGAGAAAAATTTATGAAGTGTTACTGAGAGACTATTTAGAATGTTACGGTTCGATAGTGGTTATTTTGAGTGAATTTAGAACTTCAGTCAGTGACAACAAGAATTTCTTAATGAATATTTTTAACATTATTTTCCCCGTTCTTTCTTATATACCTATTTTTACTAAGAAGTAGTTTAATGAAATCCATTAAATTTCTTAATAAAGATTAATTTTATAATCATTATAGGAAAAGTTTAAAAGTGAATAAAAGGAAAATTGTTAAAATTAGAAAATAATTTCAAATTAAAATTTTAACAGGTGTTTTTTGACATCTTCAGTAAAAATACTGTTATAGTTGATATTTCTTTCTTTGTGACTGCATTTCCCGATTTCGTTGTTTTTAATATACGGGTAGTAGAAAGAACTTCAAATTCTTTGTTTTAGGTCTAAAATTATTCTATAAATAAATGCAAACAATAAATTAAACAAATAATGATAGGTATATAATAATGGTGATACACGTAAAACTTGTACGGAATTTTTAAATAAAATACTAGTCCATAATAAATCGTTACTTTTAAGGTTAGTAATATTACTGTATATTTTCCTCAACGATGTTGAAAAGAAGTGATTGTTTTATAGTTCAAGTTAGTCATAAATCTAGGTACGTATGTAGTTATAATTCTAAATACAAAGTACAAATAAAACAAAGTAGTAATGAATTAGACACATGATGAATATTCTTTTCCCAGAATACGTTTTAAAAGAATGGAAAAAATACGTATATGTACGTGTGTTTGAAAGTTATGCACGCGTTGGGACTGATATATTACTCACTCTTTCTACTTGCGTTTCCATCATCATTCAGAAACACTATTACAGATAAAATAATTCTTCAAAACCTTAAAAAGTACAAAACCTTTCGTATAAATTTGTATTAATTTCATAAATTAATACACGATTTTTTTTTAATTAATTATAAATAATTAGTTTTGTAAATCTATTAACATTTTATGTTTAAAATTGTTCTTTTATGGTAATATAACTTTAGGTTTTCTATTACATTTCCTCATCTACTGATTTTGAAAAATAGTTTTGCTAATTTAACAAAATAACAAATTAGACTTTAAGTTACATTTTATAACTTTTTCTTTTTATTTTCCGACGTAAAACAGTTATCAATAAATACTACGATAGAAATAACTTTCATACGGTACCGGAAATTGGACGAAAAATTATTCTAATTTCTATACTCAACCCTTAGAAAACTGAACTTTCAACGACTAGGTAAATCCGAGACGTCTAAGACCATTCCAATCGAAACACGCTGAACTTGTTAGGAACTATTTTTGAACGCATTCCGTCAAAACAAGTTGAGCTACTTGTTGCATCTACCAAGAAGAATTACTGATTTAAGTGAACCACTATAAGCTTGAAAACCAAATAAAACTTTATGAACGTTATATCAAAACGAACCCATCTACAACCATTAGTGACTAAATTGAATTTCCATTAAAATGACTGTACATACTCATTAATAACCTACGTAAAAAAGCGATGTAGGAATATAAGTACACATTAGGAATACAAAAGAACCTCTTTACGTGTTCGTTCTTCCTCCTAAAAACAAAGAGAGTAGCTTATCGATCGATCCACGTATTTCTATAAAAGACTTCGCAGAAATGACTCTGGCACACTTAAATGTCATAGTAAGTCGTATTTCCTCGCAGCAACGTCACTGCGGAAGATCGTTGTATCAATTTATTTCGCAAAATATTCGTTTTTGGAGGTCAACAGCAATGCACCCAGCCGCATTCACGCACCTATATATGCTTAGTCTCTATTCCATTCGATATCACTTTACGGTTGCACGATTCATTCCCTTCTATCCGTCTGTATATGGTTGGTCTATGTACACAGCTTGGGAGCGTCAGTTTTTTGCTACCGTGGAAGAGAAAAAAGTGGAATAACTGTATTTACGAGCGCGCGGCCGCTCGTGACTCTTCGAAAATCGAGCCAATCCGGGCGGCGTATCGCTCAGAATGGCTCCATCGTTCGTTTCTGGTGTCAAGGGTCTTATGGTCGGGTATCCACACGTTTTTCCATGGTTTTACGTTAATAGCGACATCCCACTATCCCGATACCGCGCGTCGAGCGGTAGGGACGTGATGGGGGTAGCAACTGAACTGATCACTGATCAATCCGATTAAAAAGAAATCGACGACCCTTCGATACATTTTCCAATCCCTTCGTTGCTTTGGACATTTTTATCTGAGTTACGTTCCTACTGTTAACACCTGCGGATTTGAATTTTATTTAACCAGTTAACTGCGTTCGACGAGTAAGATAAAAGTATATGTATATGAATAATAATATACGCTTGCTTGTTTATTAAATAAAGAGACTCTATACGTGAAAATGCTGCTTGAACATCTTATATTCGTTACTTATTATATTTATGAAAGTGGTAATTTATATAAACTTTCGTAATTCAGTCGACAATATTTTTTAGTGTCGAATTAAATCCTAAGATAAAGTTTATGTATTTTACTAATCATAAAATTCAAATTATCATGTTATTTCGTTACAAAATAGAGATTAATTATCACTTAATTTTTACATTATAAATATGCTCGCTAATTTGGTAGTTTATCACTTTGATAAATGAACACTTTAATTTATCCACGCAAAGAGGAAATGACGTGTGAGGTACTCGCCATGATTCACTAATATTGTTTGAGTATAACGCGTGAATGACATATAATATGTTTCATTGTCAATTGATTACTTCATCTATTATACACTCCACACTAGACTTCATTCATAACAAATTTGTTTGATCCACCAGAAACCGTATCAATCGAAACCTGTGTACCGAATTTTCATGTTACAATACAGTAGGACCTCCTATAACGCCATTAAAAAATCGTCGAAACACAGCTATGAAAGTGAGATTTTCCATGAGAAATTTATATAAGCAAGATATTTATAATTTGTCATAAAAATTAGGAAAGCAGGT